GCACCCGGAACAGCTGAGTGCGTGCGGGACCCACTCGAAGGCCGTCCATGAACACAGTCATCTTGATGTGTTCATTGAGTGGGTTTCCCACTAGGGACGCCGTGAGCTCCCGTATCTCTTGCACATACCCGTGCAGTTCGCGTCTTCCTTGTTTACACGCGAGGAAGCGCGAACGCTGGCGGTACTCGTAGTTCGCCGGGAGGAACGCGGCTCGGAGCTGTTCGCACAGCTGAGCCCAGGATGTGAAACATCCAGGGGATGTCGCTTCCCGAGTGTACACCCAACTCTTAGCACGACCGCTAAGGTTGGAGAGTGCAAAAGCAACACGCAGTTGCTCGGTCGAGATCAGAGCCGCGTCCATCGCGAGCTCTACTTCTCGGACCCAGAAGTGAAGGTTCTCGCCTTCCTTCCCTTCATACGGCTTTACCTTCAGCCGTATTGGCTTCGGGTGAGGCGGGTTTGCTTCCGCCGCCGGAGCCTGCAGGTTCTCCCGCACATGCGCGATGAGGCCCTGCTCGTACGCGTCGAATGCATTGACGCGCTCGAGCTGCTCAGCCGGTGTTGATACCACCAGGCTCTGCAGGGCCTCCATCCCGAAGATGCCTGCCATCTTCCGAACCGACTCGAACTGAGAGTCGTTCATATGGGAGAAGTCGTTCCTATCCATAGCAACGAACTTCGGAGGTTCAGGTAGTCTACCCGCGATGGCGTGGATTGACTACAAGTGCTACCAAGTGTGACGGGGTCACACAGCACCTTGCGCTAGAGGAAGTTATCTTCCGAGAGTATACAAACTCTCAGTGAACGGCAGTTCACAGGTCCCCTCTTTAATTAAAGAGAGCGAAGTGACCTAAATAAGGTAGATTGTAAACTGAGTATATTTATAGGTAGGTTAAGTTTGAGGTTAATACAAACTATCAGTTACCTATAGAAATGCAATGTCATTTAACCAATGGTTGGTTTTGAATGACCTTGGTACCTTGTACCAAATATCCCGGAGTATGACATGTCATACTCCTGAAGTGTGAAGTGTCACACTTCATGTAACCAGGGTACACTTAGTGCTACGTACCCCGTTACAGTTGTCGACCAGAACCTGAGATGGCTGCACCGTTGCAATGTACGACGTAAGCGCCTTCCTCATCACAGCATCGATGACCTGCAAGCTAGAGTAGTCGAACTCACCAGCCTGACAGATCGACAGACCACCAGAACGGAACGCTGGGCGGTCGTGTCCATGAATGTGCACATAGGAGGAGCGCTGTTGACATTCTCCAAGAGCATGCCGACGAGGAAGCCCGTGCTCGTGGGAGCACCACATGCCTCCAGGTGGAACTGCACCGAGAAAAAAAACTTGTGTTCGTGGATAATACCCTTGTTCGACTTGTCGTTGGCGCTAATTAAGAGGGTCTTTCAGCCCTCAGACAGAGTGCTCGAGTCCACAGAGTATTCGTGGTTCTGCGGCGTGACGCAGCAGCGTGTAGAGCGAATGTCGATGCCGGACTGGTCCATACCGCACTTACCGTACTTCAACTTGTCCCTGGTGACACCTATTAGTAATCCGATGATGAACTCATCTTGTTACACCACTTGCCACTGCACGATACTAGCTGTGCCACGTGCATCATCATTTGTGTTATCTTGATCAGGTCGAGAGGGCCCTGGTGCTGATGAAACACTGATAACGTCTGCTTCCGTCGGTACTTGTTGGGCAGTGATCATTACTGCATTAATACGGCCTTCATTTCTCAGTAAATTTCGCTGCGGACGATGCAAATTATGTCTTGAAATGCGATTGACTAATTTAGATCGAACCCTTTCGTCCAGCAAATCGACATGGCTGCCATTTTCTAACTCAACTTCCTACGAATCGTAGGTGAGTGGCTCCTGATCATTCCACGACCTTACTTCCCGAACTATTGCCCCCAAGACTTGATCAGGTGGTTTGGCTGAAGATGCACAACGCTGAGTAATGCAGAAATTGTGTAGCCTCATACATGATGATACAATAGCGCGACAATGGCGAAGGCGAACATGAAGTGGCTGCTTTAGAATTCTCCACTTGTTCACGAAAAGTCCAAAAGCCATTTCGATACGAATTCGTAGCTGGCTTATATTAAAATCGTAGCTGTCACGGTCTCGGCTGTCTACCAGCTGCGTCTTATTAAAAGGAGTCATTACACGCTAACTTTGGACATAAGCATTATCGCCGATGGCGAAGTAGTTGCCTGAGACTTCTTGTAGAATATTGCTTAGTTGCCAACGCTGGAAAGTGTACAAATCATTCATTCCACCAGGTGAGTTGATCGAAAACGCAGTAAGCGAGAAAGAGAGTCTGCACAAGCTTGGATATTCAGTCCATATTTCTGATATTGTCCGGAGAAAATCGATAGTACGCGACCGCACTCATCTTGACGAGGGACGCGTATTGGGCAAAGCCACCCGTCAATCACACCAATGCAATCATCAATAACACCTCGATTACTGAGAGACTGAAATTCGCTCGCAACTCGTTTCATATCATCCTGCGCTTTTGGAAACTGAGGCGCTAGAGCGTCAGTATCGTTGATAGCGTACATCACACGATACACAACACGGTAGAATATAGCAGTACTACAACCGGTAATGACACGGATGTGGTGATGGCTCCCCCCTGCTAGCCATGAGAGCGCGCATTGTAGCATTGCAGCTGGTGTGAGTGGAGGGACACCGCGAGAGCGGCGTAGCGACTGGAAATAGTCGACTACCAAATAGGGTCCCACAGTACATAGTAATTCCTGGAATGTAGACAAGCTTATCCTGTAGTACTTCTCGAATGCAGACTCTTTCAAAAGCGTGGTGGTATGGATTCACCATGAAATGCGTTCACGAACAGCAGGATCCACCTTCCTATGTGATCGATGGCGCTTGAAGACAGCCATGCAGACGAGAAGACCGCACAAGGTGTCGTCGTCTTTCCACCGACGCCGTTGTCGAGCTGTAGGGACGTACCGCTGCTGCGAAATACGGTGGGGACGAAATGAGATACGCGTTATGTCGATGGGAGCGGGACAAGTGGCATCTGAATTTCGAGCTTAGCGGTAATACGTAAGAAATAAAAGCTACACGTTACTGGTCCAAATCGGAAAGTGGATTCTAATATGGGCGCCTTTTTTGCCATACCCATCTAGCTAATCAAATCCCAAAGTGTTCGAAAACGCATGCGTTGAGAACGGGCCTTAGACAGATTTATTGAAATTACTACTACGTAGTATTTTTAAAAGGAAATTACGTTTTTTCAACTCTAACACTGAATCGTTATTAAACCCAAATAAAAGTTTCACTTTAGTAAATAACCCAATATTCCTGTTGACTGGGTGGAATTCCATTTGAAGATCATGGTGCTCTCTCGCTTGGTGTTGATCTGCTGTGCGCTGTCCGCTGGTAGCGCAGCTGCGCCCTTCGACTTCCCCGACCTGACAAGCTACAGCCAGCCGTGTGAGCCCTTCACATGCCGCCCTAAGCGAGCAGCAGCCCCCGTCAAGTGAGCCCCCCCCCCTGAGCATTAAAATGGAAACATGCGCTCTAACTTGTCTCTTCATCCTCTTCAGGGACTTTGAATTCACAGCAAATGGCTGTGGTACCTCCGGCATGCCTATTTCCACTTCCACGGACTTCCAGGAATGCTGCGACTGGCATGATGCGGTACGAGACTGTCGTCGTGGCTGTCGTGATTATTATTTATTGACTATTTGATGCAGTGCTACAGCGTATGTGGCATGCCCAAGGCCAACTGCGAGAAACGTCTGCAAAAGTGCATGAAAGCGAGGTGCAAGGCCATCCGGGACCCCAACAAGCGCGAAGAGTGCTTTTCGACCGCCAAGATCTTCTACATCGGCGCCAATGTACGGCCATTCACATTGCGCTGTTTGTATACATTAACTGACGGATTTTCTGTGGCTAGATGATCGCGTGTCCGGCGTACCAGGACGCGCAGAAGGAGGCGTGCGACTGTGTGCCAACTGAGGACGCCGCTGCCGCCACGCGTGATCGTCTGGAGTATTTCCTCGAGCAGAACGGCGCGCCGGAAGAAGAACTGGAGGACGAGGCCATCGACACGTTGCTGAAGAAGTACAAGGGCCAGGAGCCCACCATGTTCCTACGGGTCCTGAAGAAATACCCCAAGGCGCTTAAGACGGACCCGAAAAAGACCAACTTCATGGACGATATCGTCAAAAGTGCCGATAAGGATCTGAAGAAGAAGAAACGTAAGGCTGTCGAGAAGGACGTGCCTGTGGACGAGCACGAGGAGCTGTAGACCATAAGAGCTCCAAAATACACCATGTCTTGAGCACGAGGAGCTGTAGACCATCAGAGCTCCAAAATACACCATATCTTTTACTTTTTAGGACGTGGGGTCTTCTGCGATGTCGCTGACGTATTCTGGTCTGCAGATGTTGATGCCGTACTCCTTGAGACTAGCCGCCAAGTCCTCCATCGTCAGTACAGAGCGAGTGCCAGTGGGCGCAGTACCTTCGGGGCTCTGTACGGCCCCTAGCGCTGCCGACGCAGCACCCGTGGCTGTAGACGACGTGGCCTGTGAGCGTATACGCTGGTACTGCATAGCGTCGTGTGTCACGTCCAGCAGGAGCTTGTGTGCTGCCAGCGAAATCATCCGCGTCCTGTTCGGAATAAACGTTGGTCCTTAATACGTTGCTTTCGATGCCACTTACTGAGATATCACGTACACTCGCACGTCGTTGGTGGCGAACCCTGATTGCTGCAGATAAAACTCCACCAGCTCGTCCGGGATCGTCGGCGAGTATTGCGTCATGGCTGCCAAGAAGGCATCGAGCTGCGCCGCCTCCGACATGATCGAAACTGTGATAAATTGAGTCGCGTATAATAAATAAAAATAGTCCAGACAAAAATGTGCATGCAATTGCACCAAATTGTACACACATCATGGAGGATAGTCGTCTACACGTCTTCACTTATCGATCCCTCCCCTCGTGTGAATAATGTCGTCGTGCACCGAAGTCCAAGTTCTAGAGAACGTGTGGATCCCCGTGGATGCCGAAACGCGCTTGTCGGCGCGGATCTGGCTGCCCAAGTCGTCCACTGCCAAATTTTCGGTGGTGCTCGAGTACATTCCGTACCGGAAATCAGACTGGACGGCCACTCGGGATGCGAGTAATCACGTGTGGCTGGCCCAACGGGGATTCGCAGTGGCAAGAGTCGATATTCGAGGTTCCGGCAACAGTGAAGGTCACTTTTACGGTGAATACACTCTTCAAGAACTTCAAGACGGAGTGATGGTCATTGAGTGGCTCGCCAGTCAAAGTTGGTGTTCTGGTAGTGTGGGTGTGCTTGGCAAAAGCTGGGGTGGGTTCAATGGACTGCAATTGGCAGCCATGGCCCCACCTGCTCTACGTGGAGTAGTATCACTCTACTCAATTGACGACCGGTATGCAGACGACGTGCACTACATGGGGGGCGCAGTATTGGGGTCTGAAGCCTTGAGTTGGGCCACCGTTATGTTCAGCTTGAACGCACTACTGATGGCTCCGGAAACGGTAGGGTCGGAGGTAGCATGGAAGCGACGATACCAAGAAAGACTGGAGAAGCAGCTCCCGTGGCTACACGAGTGGCTAGCGCACCAAACTCGAGATGAATTTTGGGAACATGGCTCCATTTGTGAGACCTACGACAAGGTCAAGTGTCCGGTATTGGAGATCGGAGGCTGGAATGATGGTTATTTCAACGGTGTGGCGCGGATGATCAAAGGGATGAAGAATTCTCCGAGTAAAGGCGTGGTTGGGCCGTGGAGTCACAACTGGCCGAATAGTGCCACTCCTGGACCGCAAGTGGGTTTTTTAGAACTGTGTCGACAGTGGTGGGAGTACTCATTAAACGATAAAACGGACAATTCAGCTACCAGATTTCCGGACCTGCAGTTGCTCGTCAAAGACGAGATCGAGAACCCGACGGCGAGGATGTTTGAGTATCCAGGCAAATGGTGTGGCGTGGACGATGTCGAGAAGCTAGAGCAGAAGTTTGTGACGTTCTACTGCTCGAGTGGAGATGGCTACAAACTGCAGAATACGGCGGAGCCACCCAGTACTCGTGAGCGTGTGATCGGGTTTAATAGCTTGCAAGGTGCGTGGAGTGGCGAGTGGCTGTCGTTTGGCGGCGAAGATATGCCCGGTAATCAATTGAATGAGGATGCAATCTCTACCGGCTACTGGTCCACTAAATGAGGAAATTGAGATCGTTGGCCGTCCTCAAATAAGTGTATTCGTCAAGTCGAGCAAGCCGCAGGCCCTCATCATGGCGCGTTTGAGTGACGTTTCTCCCTCTGGAAAGTCGACTTTGATCACGCGTGGTGTGCTCAATTTGAGCCACCGTCATGGCCACAAGCTCGACGAGCTAAGCCACATGCCTATTGGCGAGAATACTCGAGTCACGTGGCAACTCAATGCGTGCGCATACACTCTACGTGCAAGCCACACTCTGGTGCTGTCCGTCACACCCAATTACTGGCCGATGGTCTGGCCGTCGCCCGAGCCAGTGGAGCTGTCAGTTTCCTTTGCTGAATCGAATCTGCTCAAGCTTCCTGTGCTACCTGAAGGTCCTACTCCTGTTGAGAACGCAGCGAGTTGCCCTGTGAAAGATTATCTTCTGGATGCAGGAGCACCATCACGCACTATTTAACTGAGAGAGGCTCCGCCGTTGGAGCGTAACTTGACCTTGTTGCTGTCGGAAACGGACTCGTCTCAACCCTTACAACGCCTTGTAGTCAACGAAGACCAATGCAAAGATTTGCTTGTTGACGAAGGAATTGTTATGGAAGAAACAGCGACCAAGACGTACACGATCGACCCTCAATGTCTCCACCCGCGTGTCAGTATTCAGCGCACTCTTACGTACGAGAAATGACTTCAAGTGAGCATAGTGAGCTGCTTGACAAGTTCGCCGACCAGGTGACTGCCGCTACGCATGTCAACGAACTGAAGCTAAAGCAGGTCGATTATGCAGAGCACCCGGTACTACCATGGAAGGTTCGCGTCGAGACAGACAGCTCCATGGCTTCAGATGAGACGACGTTCTTCCTCAAAGATCACATGATCGTCCGTCTGAATGAAGAGGTTTTCTTTGAAAAGACGTGGGAGAAGGAGATCCCGCGCCAGTTTGTGTAGCTTATCCAGCAATACGCAACCCAGAATTGCACGCCGAAAAAAAGTGATTCATCTTTTCACTTAAAAAAATACCGAAGCTAAGGCTATCTCCACTCGTAGTTGCTATCCGTATTGCAATCTGTCGAATCTGATTGGCTGTTGCTATTCGCTGCGATAATAGAAATAAGGATTTTTCACCAACTCCAGTCTTGGGTGAGTTTCTATTCGTGCACCAGAGTTGCTATTGGGGATCCGAATAGCAACTCGAATCAGAATTTCTATTTTCAAATATAGCAATAGCAACTCCGAGTGGAGATAGCAGAATATATTCTTTCTGATTCCGTCGCTATTTTAGCAATAGCAACTCCGATCCTTAGGTACCGGTAAGACAAACGTTATTGGTACTACTTATTAATACCAGTATTTTTTTCTTAAACTGATATAAATTACTCACTCATTAAATACTCACTCATTTTTAAATGAGTGAGTAAAAAACATTTACAATATAGTATTTCACGATTTGGCTACCGGAACATCACCCCGATCTACAGGTAGTAAACTCAGCACAGTACGTCAGCTTTCAGGCTGCATGCGTATGAGCGACAGGTGGTAACACTTTCGTAACATGAATACTGTCTCGTTGCCGCTTTCATTTTTTTTAAGATGAGAGCGATTATGAGGAGGTATGCTGACGTTGCCTTCAACTGAGTCAGTTGAACTGACCTCGATTACGAAGTCAGCTGGAGACTGTAGGAAAGAGATTTCAGGGTCGGAATGCCCTGCCGTGGCCGTTGATAGGCGGTAAAGCTGTCGCAGGTTAGCACGCAAGGTAGCATTCGATATCTACGAAAAACGAAGATCATCTTCGTTTTTTTCAAGATGACTCTTACACGACTACGGTAGATCAATTATAATGGGGGTGTCGCCATCTGCTGCAGGACAAGGTCAAGCTGTCAACTAGTTGCACCGCACGCCAGCATCAGTCACCATATCGTGTCGACGATCAACACGCGAGTACCGAGAGGCTCTTCTCGTTGACATCAAGTCAAGCACAGCACTGGGTCGCCCAGCACGACCACCACTTAGCAATTCGCAGTCGACCCCAAAGCACAGCGTAACGATGAGTAGTCGAAGTCTGAATGATCCGTTGAGCTCGAAAAATCCATGGGCTCCATATACCCCGGACAACCAACCGGATAGTCGATACACGGTGTTCGAAGCTAACTCCAGTGTCACCGAGTCCGGAACCCGTTCCGTAATGTTCGCGAATGACGCCAATGGTTTGGTAATTCGCAGTACCAAAGACTGTCGACAGACGTTAGTGTTCTCGGATCAGGAGATCTGTGATGACATTTTGGCAACGATCCCAAAACTGCACTCGATAGTGATCAACGGGGTCAAAGGCGGTCGATGGAAGCAGCGTAATGTCAAAGGAGGCGTGCAACTAAGCGAAATGGAGCCCAATTACTCGCCCGTCGACCCTGACGATGATCTCGATATTCTTCACGAAACGGTGGCAGCAACGGAGCTCCGCTGTCACTTAAACGAGGCACTGAGTGTGTTGCTGCATCAAGACTCGAATGCGTATGATACAACGATGAAAGCTTTGCACGGCAAGAGGTTTAAGAAGGGCGAAGTACTGTTCCGCCAACGCGTGGCGTTCGACACTAACTCGCAGGAGCAAGCTCGTGTTCCCGTGGATGGAAACGACGACACACCGCAGCAAGGCGTCATCACTGTCGCGTCGGCCACGTTGCGTCCTAGCGCTGGTTTGCTACTACCCTCTCGTCATAAACACACGCAACAACTCTTGTTCTCGACCTGTACGCACCAGTATCCAGACAAGAAACGCGCCGTGCACGTGATGAAGACAGTGCCCAAATCTGTCCACGACCAGGTGCTTCCTAGCTCGGACCGCTCTTCGCTGCGCCGTCAACTCGACCACATTGCTGTCGGGTTTGATCTGCAGTTCACGCCACGTCCTGGAGGTAGTAGTCGACAGACGACGCGCATTTTTGCCCATGCGTACGCCTCGGACCGGCCGTCATCGGCCTTCCGAGAGGAAACCGGCGAGAACCGGGCAGCGTCCGTAGCCAAGAAGCGTGAGGCGGCTGCGAGAATTCACGCGTCCGACTTGAGCCGCCGCCGTACAGCACTGATGAACCCGGAGGCGCGTCATGTGATGAGGGTGTTGACCGAGTCGGTCGCGCAGTTTGAACGGGTGATCCGTCGCCGGCGGTTTGGCTTCCAGTCTTCCATCTATTTCCCCAAGGAATACGCAGACCCGTTCGGGAGAAACGCTGCTCGATCTGCAGCAAGAGCTTCCACTTCTTCCGTCGTGACTTCTACTGCCAGCTCTGCGGCCACATGGTATGTAGAGACTGCTCTCAGCTGTACGAGGTGGAAGCTCGTATCGGAGAAGTTCGTAAGAACCGCTGCTGTGTTCGGTGCGTCGTACGTGTTGACTCCTGTAAGTTCGACGACGAAGATCTGCTGCCTGATTTGGGTCCAATCCTCGTCGAAGCGCCTCCCGACGTCTGGGAGAGCTTGGGCTCGAACGGTAATGTAGACGACACGTCTTCTGAGTCTGATATGGACGATCTACCCGGTCAGCTTTGTTCCGAAGATCCGGAGACACGCAGTCGGGCACTGGAGATGCTTGGTCGAGTTATAGGAAGCCCAGCAAGCTCCTATTCTTCCTCGGACTCGAGCCGTAAGCTCGTGAAACTATCTAGTAATGGATGCATTCGAAGCCACAAGAAGCAGAGTAAGAAAACTACCAAAACGCAGTCTCAACGCGTGCGGAAGCGTGTGGAGAACCACGTGACCCACGAGCTGGCCAGGTCACGGCTCAAATACACCGTTGATGCCTGTGACGTAAGCGATCGCACCAGAGACTACAAGTACGAGCTCGATAGCTCCAAAGTCACGAATGAAGACCACCCGTTGGCCCCTATGCCCGATGGACAGAAGGACGCCCGACGCGTCGACTTTATCCAGCAATCTGGCGCGTTGCGGTCAGACTACGACCGCTCGGCGCTGAATATGATCGCGCAGGTGGCGGCCGAACGCCTCGCCTGTCCGATCGGCTTCGTCTCGATGGTAGACGATGCGCAGTTCCACGCTATCGGCAACTACAACCTACCCGTGGAAGCGCATCACCTTCCTCATAACGAGAACATGTGCATACACGCCGTGTACGCGGACAAACCGTTAGTGGCTAAAAACCCGCAGCGCGATATGCGTTTCGCTCAGATGCCGTGCGTGGAAGACCTGGGCGTCAAGTTCTACGCTGGTTTCCCGCTGCGAGCCCCGAACGGAGAAGTGGTAGGGTCCCTGTGTGCAGCAGACGGAGTTGCGCACAACAACATCTCCACCAAGGACTACGCGACGATGGAGACGCTGGCCAAGCTAGTTTCGGACCTACCGGCGCACAACAGCCCCCACAGTACGAAGAGCTGAGTGTATGTACCGTGTGAGCGAAACGTAAGTTACATGCTAACGAATGTAGCAACCCTGCCATTTATGCAGTGCACGTCCATTGCGTAGCAAGCTCTCAGCTTCATACCACACAATCTTCGGATTCACACTGAGCGGGGTCCCGCAGTGGCTCGGGCAATGGGCACAAAACCGACCGGCAGAAATATGGGACGTCATATACGAAGTAGCAAACGAATGCTGGCGGATCAGCTGTGCGGCCGCAATAACGGCACTTTGGAGACGACAAGTGGATTTAGTACACCCAAGCACGGATCACCCAACCGAGGCACAGCAGGGGATAGTGGCCTGCATGAACACAATAGGTGAAGCCATCCGAAGGCACACGGAAGGCTACTATCCGCTCACGCAGCACACGTTTCGCAAACTACAAGTGGCACAGGCGATTATCTCACGATGAAACTCAACACCAGACACACAAGAGCACACGAAACAACGGGGGCTCATACGCATTGGCTTCTTCGACGGGGGCTCCAGGGGGAACCCTGGACCTGGAGGGGCAGGCAGCATACTGGTGGAATACGATGACTCAATTCACAGCTTCAAGCCATTATGGGCGGCGGCGACGTCACTGGCGGTGAAGACAACAACAAACAACGTGGCAGAATTGGTGGGACTACATAGACTGCTCACACGAATATGCGAGTGCAAATGGAGACGCGTACACATTGTAGGTGACAGCGCCATGATACTCGGGCTAATGGCAGCCCGAAAGCCACCACGGGCCAGAAACCTACAGCACTGGTACAGATTATGCCGGAGATTAGCAGACGAATGTCAAATACAGAGCTGGGGGCACCACTATAGAAAGTTCAACAAAATGGCGGACGCGGTAGCAAACACGGCCATGGATGAGAGAGCAAGCAGGATGGTGCTGTGGACAAAAGACGGGAAGGGACAAGGAGCCCAGGCGATATGTGCACAGGTCACCAGCAACATAAGATCAGACACCAAGCAGTGAATGGACACACATACTTTACAAGACGACAGGTTGACGACAGGCATGCAGAGTGGAGGAATGCAGCCGCTATACACACCAACAACATAGCGCTCGGGAGGGACGAGGCAGAGATAACTGCGGTTATCAAGCAAACCCGGGAAGTAGGAAAAGCTACCGGGAATGGTGATTAGCGTTGAGTCCGACAAATGACAGTAACACAGTACACCTCAATTATTATTAAGCTCTCAGCTTCATGACGCCTCTGCTACAGTAGCAGCTGCTGCTTTGGAGCAAGTATTTACTGAGGGAGTGGGCGAAGTTTTGATACGCATGACGCCACAGTCTAGTTCAGTGGACGAGCGTAAGGAGCAGGCGACCCGTTCAGTACTCTTCCGCTCTAGACGTCCTTGGTCAGCTAGTGAGTTTCGTCGTATTCTCTCACGAGTCTTATTGGGAGGATCAGGCGAAAAAAAAAAACACACACAAAGGCGCAATACTGATAAGCTGGATGTGGAGATCTATCCGCGTCAGAGTCTTAGTGTCATGAAATACTGATGATCACCCCTTCCCAAACCGCCCCAAATTGTCTCGCCAGCACACAACACCTACAGATTAACGACTACCAAGCTCGGAACCAGTTGATCAACCAAACGAGGTTGCAACAGTGAAGCACTGCTGAATTCCATTGACCATATTTCCGTGAATGAATCATTTTTCGTCCTTCGTAATATATATAGCTTTTCATAATTCATCGAGTGGATAGAGGATATTTGACCTCAGGGGGACCCAAAATGTTGTCCTGTCGTGTACTAATGATATATCGGTCGAGATAATTGTTTGAGTTCATCGAGAAAGTATGGCCTGTTTTTTAGGGGATGTGGTGTTATTATGAAAAGCAAAAACAAACATTGAAGTTTTCTGTGTATCCTTGTGTTAACAGGTACGTAAAGTGTATAGCCGATTGCCTCTGTGTCTGCATTTCGCTTTTTCTTGTCTTTGGCGCCATCCCGTGCATAGATCCAAAGCAATCAAGACGAGAAGATGAAAGTCGAATCATTCCATTTCAGCTTCTCGATATCCTTCCTATATCGCACCCACCATTTGTACAATGGGTTGTTGATGAGATCACTTTCCGCGACATTGTGAAGCCCTAGCAGCTTATATACCTCGTCAGGGGATTTCCAAAGCGCAACAATGCCAGTAAGCGCCTTGTCTCGCAACTCCGTCGCTGCCTTTTCCATGCTGGGGTACTTCATTGCAGCATCGAGAATATGGAGTAAGGGGCCGGGATTCTTCTCGTAATTCTTCTTTAATGTCGCGAATATCTTTGGTATTTTCGTTCGTGGCGACAGTATCCATGTACGAGACCCAAGTCTTGAGGAGTTGCGTGCGATACAAATCTGCTTCGGGAAGCTTTAGCTTGACGAAGACTTTTGAACAGACTCACCATTTCTCAGCCACATTTCAAACAGTTCATACTCCAGTTCCGTGGCCCTCTTTTTCGTCGCATCTTTCGCTTTCGACGCTATAAGAAACGTCGCCACTTCTTTCGCCAAACTTCCGCGTCAATGTGGCGACCGTGTTGGTTGCCTCGTCGGGGTACCTTACGTTGAATTTGTTTAGGTACTTGGTCCACGTGCTCCATATCGGGTTTTCTAATGAGTACAACACGTTAAGATTGAGATCAACCAGGGCCTCATCCGCTGTTTTTCGACTAGTCAACCAGAACTGAAGCACATCGTCCTCCACCCTCTTTGCGATGCTTTTCGTTGCATCAATCTTCTTCGCTTCCAAAGTTAACTGGAGCAGAGCACCATCCGTGGCATATTTTCGTAATGCTGGAACCATTGAAACAGTGTGCTCTGGATACTTTGCGTTCAAATCGTCCACATACTTGACCCAAGATCTGAATTCAGGATTACTGAAGAGATCCTGACTTGATTTGATCTTGGGCTGGAATAGATGAAAGCGCCGCTAGGGTCCTTTCTTGTATCTATCCAGTACCACACTTGCTCTGCTTGAAGACGCGTGGCCATTTCCTTCGTTTTAGTGCTCTCCCTGGCCTTTTCAATGAGTTTGTAAAATCGTTTTGGAATCGTCGCCGTACTTGGCAGCTAGTGTCGAGATTGGGTTAATATTTTCATTCTTGGTAACCACTTTGAGCTCATCTACCTTCGAGACCCACTTGAAGAATTGTTCGTTCACAAAAAGATCATCTCCGGCATCCTGAAGATGCATACGCTGGAATGCCGATGCAGCAGATTTCTTTTTCTCGAGCCATCTTCTAATGATATCTGGTGTCAAAACCAGAGGCGTGAACACGGTCTTTACTTTCTCTACAATAGGCACGGAAAAGCCTCCTCCCGTCCTCTCCTCGTCGCCATCTTTCTCAGTGGTGTGGCTAACTCGCAAGAATCTCTCTGCTGCTTTGTGAACATCGTTACCGCTAGATGGTGAGCGAGGTACTTTGGCTCTTGAAGCATCAATGGATGTGGTCGAGAAGATGATAGGCACACAAATTAATACCAGAAAGCAACGAAGCCGCATTGTTGCTGCTCCAGACCGTTGTGAAATCAATGTGCCTTGTGGCCATGAAATCGAGCTGTATTACGATAAATTTGTCATACATGTATTATGACACGTAAACATTTAATCTCATAAACACTTCCCCATAATCCAAGATTTGCTAGATCCCTTCACAACAGGGAGTAGTTGTGATGGACTGGTCTCTGCCTTTTGTGTGGATAGGATCACCGGCCCACTACGGTGCCTTCGGTGGAGCATTAATTTTCTTGGTGTTGCGAGAGTCCACCACGCTGGTGCTCAGTAGCGGAAAACAGACCCATTCGTTTGCTACACACGGATCGATGACCAAATTACAGTCGAGGAAGACTACGCTGAGCGACTGTTACGTATATCCTTCAGTATATATTGTCGCGGAAGTTATTTTATATATGTCCACTTTATTGGGCAGAGGAACATGACTCGATAGAGGTCACGATTTAACCTAGCCCTCGATGGACCATTTTAGGATTTCTTACATCAGAGTCCCCCCCCCACCCACATACACACTGGATCTCGCTACCGCTCTGGGGCTCTCGGTAAGCTCCTCCTTGTGAGTAAAGCTGCTGCTCCGAGTATCGAGGCGACGTGAGTATTAATTACAGCAGTACTTGGATTGATCTGCTACGTCACAGCGACGAGTAGTAGGACGCAATAGACAGAATCATAAAGCTGTCTACTAATGAGCCACGACCCTTTTTAAAACATGTCTTGCTCTTAAGTCCAGTTGTGCACTCAATCTTTAGATAATTAAAACGCGCCCACTTCGACACGCAAACTGAAACAACATGCATGAACTTTATTAAATTGCTTTACGGCGGATTGTATTAAAAAAAATCGCCCTTAGGACCCCGATTTTGCACTTATTAAGCGTGAGTTTGCTTAAATTTTAATTTTTACAGAATTTAGCCAGCGATTCGTCGTAGAAGCGAATATTTGCCTACCAAAATACCGCTCTGGCCACATAACATTTTGACAGCTCTATTTAACCTCATTTCAATGTGTTCCATATTTGGCGCTTCAAATAGACAAAACACAGATCTGTATCATGTGATTAGATACAAATTTCTGGGTATAGTAAGAAAAAACTATTTTTTTTCGACCAGCCTACGCTTGAGATATATGATGCATATGAATGTGGAGTAAAATGTCTCCGGAACCCTTTTTGATTAATACCGTTAAAAATTGATGATGCTGCAATAAAAACCTAGTGCTTACCAAAATCGTCGACGCAAATTGAACATTTGCATTCACAATTTTAGCTAATATTGACAGCCAATTATATAACACAAAAATGGGTAAACTCAGGCTTTATTTTAGGTCCTAACCAAAAAATCTGGATGATATTATGGCTCGAGAACCGAATGATCGATTATTAAGTGGGCCAGAGTGGTACCGAAAAATCGGCCCCAGTGCGACATCGATTTTTGGTCAAAATCAAGTCAAGTATATAACCTCATCAAGGTTTTTTCAAAATTTACCCTTATGGTGACACCCCTCCTAAACAGGCGGCAGATCGTCTTTTTTAGGTCTGTTTCCCACAGCATGAGCTACTTGGTATTTGTAAGCCGACGGGGTTTCCCCAAAAAGTACGAAGTAGGGAGGAGGGGGTGAAAGTCTACTCGCTTGGCAACACGAATCCATGTCTGTGGGGGGGGTAGAATTCAAGCCAATGCCTCTACTTTTCGAGATTTGCAGTATACCTGGAGGATATGCCATTCATGAAAATGGGAACGTCGCGCTGGACCCGTTTGTCGCACTGAGGCCGATTTTTACGGTAGTTAGGTATAGTACAGAAGACACAATCCTACACCATGACTAAAATGTTATCGAGACAATAGCGACTGTATTGAACTTATGGCTTCAGCTTATGTTTGTGTGAAAACCCAGTATACCCGTGATACGGTCGCGATAGTGGCGGAAAGCGGTTTAGACGCGTTCAGACTTCAGCTTCACGCTCGCCAGAGGCTCGTGATCAATTCAGCGCGACGTGCCGGGGGGGGGGGTATTGGGGTCTGATGCGGCGCTCACGGGTGACCCGTGGAAAACGATAGGTACCGTTGTTTTGTCCTTCTCAGATACTGCGCCCTATATCCTTTCTTCATTACCACAGCACTTAAATTGTTCTCTTTATCGGTCGCACCTCCTTTAAGACAGAATGACGGTTCCGATCCGTCGGAAATGTATGATGAAACCTATTGTATATTTTCCTGCACTAGGTTCTGGAGCCCGAAACTCATGCGTAGCCACTCGAGGTGCTCGGCATTCAGAGCTTTGTGAGTCGATTATCCGCATGCGTTTGTCCGCGGCCACAATCGAATCGTGACCTTCCATTGAGAGATTAGCATGACTAACCAGCTCTATCAGAGCTCGTTGTGCTTCGCCGTCGAGTCAATAGTATAGCTGAGAGGCTGTGTAGGGGCTGGGGCTGCCGGTGGCAGCGCACATTGACAGAGTAACACCTGGGCGGTTGGAAAGCACTCCTCTAGCACTTGCCACTCGACAAAATATTTGTCGATAACCACACTCGTGACCTCTTTCCACTTTAGATTTTTGTCCTTGAAATATTTCAAGACCGTTTTAATCGTGACAGCGTTCTCATTGTGGCAAATGAAGTCAACCACTAGGAACCCTGTACCCGTACACGTAGTGACAGCCCAACTCCCTACACAACAGCCGCAACCAAATGAGATTCAAGGTTGTTGTAAGAAATTAAGGCTGCGCTAAGGGTTGCTATAACAATAAGGTTGCTTTTCTGCACGTAGCCAAATGGTAGCCAAGATTGCTCGTTTCGTGCGTGAAGTCCATCGTCAAGGTTTCACCCCACCGCTCAAACGTCATCTTTTGCACTTTTGTTTGTATGACGGCTCCACAGGTGATGTCCATCTGGTCCTGGATTACGAGCACATCGCTACCTTCAATCTGTCGAAGAGCATGCAGCAAGTCTTTCATTCGATTGTGGTGTAGCGGGATCAGCAAAATCTGTGCGATTGCTGGATCCAGCTTACCAACTGCGCCCAGATACCGACAAACGAAGAAGTCCCCGATGATCCGTGTTCTGCTGAGCTTTCCTCACCTTGTGTACCCGTCGGTAGGGCGGGATCTTGCTCTTTCGGTAACTATCGAAGTGTTCAAGTGGTGAAGCTTGAGTGCCTTGGTGATACGTGGGGATGGGTGGAGCAGTAGTGGTAAAATCATCACTCTGCGTCCGTGGTTGATTCTGGATCCTAAGCGAATATTCGAGCTTAAGTGGATCCAGGGCCTAGATCGTGGATCTGGCCTTAGGGTTGCCTTGCGGGTGTGTTCCCTTGCCTTTTCGTTTCCTTTGCGCTGTACTTGCCGCCTCCTGTGACGGGATCTTGAAAGTTGAGAGCCTCTAGGGTGTAGCCGGACAAGTAGTATCCGGTTATCCTGTCGGATCTGCACGTGTAAAGGAAAAGCTCACTAGGTTGTAGGATCTGGCCAATGTATTATCCAGTTATCACTACCAACACTAGATAGCTGAACAGGCCGGGCAGTTCCGCACCGACTAAGAAGCTCCTTGAATTGAGATAACTTAATTTGGTGAGGTCGAGCTGGGCGCGGAGGTCAAATCGGCGGAAGGGGAGAGCGGATTACCCTCATACGTCAAAGAGAAGTGGATTCCGCACCCGGTCATATTACGGTCGGTTGCGGAGCAAATCGTGTAGCACGGGCGTCGTCAACAAATGCTCCAGGGGAATTTCTTCAGTGGTCGTCTGCACAGGTGCGGTCGTAAATATCCTGGTGTCGTAACGAAGGGAAAAGGCTGTGCAGGCCGTCTGGTCAGGCCGGTGTCTCGTCCCACAGTATTATATCAGGAATACTTGAGAATCGGAGCCGTTGGTTTCCCGCACACTGGTTTGCCAGTCGTAGGGTTGAAGTAGCTTGGGGACACGAAGACTAACGTTCCCTCGGGTAGTAAATACCCTTAAGCACCTTGTCTGTGCAAGGTGCTGTGGGACCCCATCACACTAGGTAGCACTCGTAGTCAATCGTACACCTTCGCGGGTAGATTGAACTACCTATATTCTATGCGCGCTCTACGTTGGAGCCACGTTGGACCGAATTATTTTTCCTCGCTTGAACGACTCACAGTACGTGTCTGTTCGGAAGATGGGAGGCATCGTTGGACAAGATGTCCTTCGCAGCTTGGCGGCGGTGACGACTGCTGAGCAAGAATACCTTGTGGCCGCGTTTGAGACCTACGTGCGGGGTCTCATTGTTCACGTCCGCGGGAGCTTGGAGGCCTCGATGACCACTCCCACGGCAACCAGGTCTAAGTCGATAAGGCGGAAGGTTCTCACCTTTGAGCGGAAGAAAGGAGAGAACCTTCACTTCTGGGTCCGTGACGTGGAGATCGTCATGAAGGCGTGTCTCTTTAATAATAATTGAGGTGTATTGCGTTACTGTCATTAGCCGACTCAACGCTAATCACCATTCCCGGTAGCTTTTCCCACGTTCGGGGTTTGCTTGATAACGGGAGTTATCTCTTCTTCATCCTTCTCCCTCCTAAGCGCTATGTTGTTGGTGTGTATATTGGCTGCATGCCTCCACTCTGCATGTCTGTCGTCCTCCTGCCTTCTTGTATTGTATGTGTGTCCGTCCACTGCTTGGTGTCTGATCTTATATGGCTGGTGACATGTGTACAGATCGCCTAGGCTCCTTGTCCCTTTCCGTCTTTTGTCCATATCACCGACCTGCTTGCTTTCGCATCCATGGCCATGTTGGCGACCACGTCCGCCATTTTTTGAACTTTCTATAGTGGTACCCTCGGCTCTGTATTCGGCATTCGTCCGCTAATCTCTGGCACAATCTGTACCAGTGCTGTAGATTTTTGTCCCGTGGTGGCTTTCGGGATTCCATTAGTCCGAGGATTATAGCGCTGTCACCTACGATGTGTACTCGTCTCCATTTGCACTCGCATATTCTTGTAAGAAGGCGATGTAAGCCCACCAATTCTGCCA